TTCCCCGTGAGGAAAGTTTGGAAAAGAGATGACTAAGAGAGGGACATGATAGAGAGGCTTATAAAAGTATGCATGGATTGGAGAGAGCTGACAAAAGAGAACTTTTTCTCCCTCTCCCAAAAGACTAGAACTCGAGGATATCCGATAAAGCTGATGGGCAGCAGGTTCGGGATGGACAAAAGGAAATCCTTCTTTACACAGAAAGTGATTAAAATGTGGAACTCGCTGCCAGGGGATGTAGTGATGGCTACAGGAATAAACAGCTTGAAAGGGGGATTAGATAGATTGATAGAGGATAGGTCTATCAGTGGCTACTGGCCATGGTGACTGAGGGGAACCTCCACATTCAGAGGCAGTCAGCTTCTGAATCCCACAGTCAGGAGGCAACATCAGGGGAAGGCCTCGGCTTCTGTGCCCTGTTCTCGGCCACCGTGTGAGCCAGGATGCTGGAGAGTACTGGCCTGGTCCAGCAGGGCTTTTCTCATGTACTTAACTTTTTGGAGTTCAAAGTCTACACCTTCTCAAGTTCAAGTGTTATAGGAGGCGAAAAAGCTCTCTCTATTCATTGCTCCGCCTCATGCATATTGCAGAAACGGAGGGGGTGGTGGTCCTGGATGGAGCAGGCAAGAGGCCATAAAGAGGGCAGCGCATGTCAATAGACAGGCAGCATAGTGTTTAGAGGGTTTGGGATGTGAGGAGGGAGGCATGGGTTCCATGACAGTGCTTCTTCCAAAGGTCAGGACCAGCTCTACAGTGGAAAAAGAAAACTAGAATATATGCAAAAGCAAATTCAGCTCCATTAAGTGGGGGGAGAGCGAGCCCCTGTGCCACCAGTAGTATTGCCAACACGGAGCTGGGAAGATTTGGGGGTGAAGGCGGGGTTTGGGGGTGGGAGGGGCCTCAGCATTGTTGTAAGCACATTTTATGAACCACTTTGTACTCTACCACTGCCTAACAGGTTTAACTTAGTAGGTATACTTAGCATAGGTGATGAAATTTGACAATGTTTGATGGAACCAATAATTCTGTTTTATTTCTCTGATGTAATGTGCAGTATAAAATGCTATTTCACCCACTGTAACACTTGAAGAATCTGTTGGGTATTCAGGGTTCCAAAACGCTTGAATCTGTATTCTTCCTTATTAATTAATAAATTATTATTTTTTGTTTCCAACTCTACAGGACTACTTTTGTGTGTTTTCTCAAATTGGCCTGGGCAAACACCATCAGGGACAGAGGTTCTGTCTTACAGCATGGTCCAATGCCATAGAGTCCACCCTTCAAAGCAGCCATTTTATCCAGGGGAGCTGATCTCTGTCAGTTGGAGATCAGTTCCAAAAGCAGGAGATCCCCAGGCCACACTTTATTATATCAATCTCAGTGGGTGACCTTGAGCCAGGGATAGCCTTTCTTTAACCTACCTCACAGGGTTGGTGTTGTGAGAACAAATGGGGTGGTGCAAGGGGACCAAGCATACAGCCTTGAGCTTCTTGGAGACGGACCATGGCATAGTAGTAGAGCATCTGCTTGGCATGCAGGAGGTCCCAAGTTCAATCCTTGGCATCACCATTTAAAGAAGAAGAAGAAGAAGAAGAGATTGGATTCATACCCCGCCCTTCACTTGGAGTCTCAGAGGGGCTTACAGACTCCTTTCCCTTCCCCTCCCCACAACAGACACCCTGTGAGGTGGGTGGGGCTGAGAGAACTCTGAAACAAACGGCTCTTTTTCAAGGACAGCTGTGCCAGAGCTTGTGACTGACCCAAGGTCACACCAGCAGGTGCAAGTGGAGGAGTGGGGAATCAAACCCGGTTCTCCCAGATCAGAGTCCGTGCACTTAACCACTACACCAAACTGGAGAGCATGCAGTAGGTGATGTGAAAAGACCTGTGCCTGAGACCCT